TGTGTGTCACCTGTGTCACCTCCCATGTCACCCCTGGAGCGCTGTGACCAGTCTGTCCTCACCTGTCCCAGGTGTTCTCAGGTGTTCTCAGGTGTTCTGTCTCACCTGTCCCAGATGTTCTGTGTCACCTGTCCCAGGTGTTCCCAGGTGTTCTCAGGTGTTCTGTCTCACCTGTCCCAGATGTTCTGTGTCACCTGTCCCAGGTGTTCCCAGGTGTTCTCAGGTGTTCTGTCTCACCTGTCCCAGATGTTCTGTGTCACCTGTCCCAGGTGTTCCCAGGTGTTCTCAGGTGTTCTGTCTCACCTGTCCCAGATGTTCTGTGTCACCTGTCCCAGGTGTTCCCAGGTGTTCTCAGGTGTTCTGTCTCACCTGTCCCAGATGTTCTGTGTCACCTGTCCCAGGTGTTCCCAGGTGTTCTCAGGTGTTCTGTCTCACCTGTCCCAGATGTTCTGTGTCACCTGTCCCAGGTGTTCCCAGGTGTTCTCAGGTGTTCTGTCTCACCTGTCCCAGATGTTCTGTGTCACCTGTCCCAGGTGTTCCCAGGTGTTCTCAGGTGTTCTGTCTCACCTGTCCCAGATGTTCTGTGTCACCTGTCCCAGGTGTTCCCAGGTGTTCTCAGGTGTTCTGTCTCACCTGTCCCAGATGTTCTGTGTCACCTGTCCCAGGTGTTCCCAGGTGTTCTCAGGTGTTCTGTCTCACCTGTCCCAGATGTTCTGTGTCCCCTGTCCCAGATGTTCTCACCTGTCCCAGATGTTCCCAGGTGTTCTCACCTGTCTCAGGTGTTCTGTCTCACCTGCCCAGGTGTTCTTGGTGCCCGAGGGGCGTGTCCGGCTGGAGGAGAAGCACGGGCTCAGCAGCCCTCACCTGTCCCAGATGTTCTGTCTCACCTGTCCCAGATGTTCCCAGGTGTTCCCAGGTGTTCTCACCTGTCTCAGGTGTTCTGTCTCACCTGCCCAGGTGTTCTCCTGCCCCGAGGGGCGTGTCCGGCTGGAGGAGAAGCACGGGCTCAGCAGTCTGGTGGTGGAGAGCGCCGAGCGCGGCGACGAGGGGCGCTACGAGATCCGCGTCACCAACCCGGCCGGGGAGGACACGGCCGCCATCACCATCCGCGTCGTGGGTCAGCACCTGGGCACACCTGGGCACACCTGGCCACACCTGGGGGGACATGGGGACACCTGGGGGGGCATGGGCACACCTGGGGACACCTGGGGACACCTGGGGGGACATGGGCACACCTGGGCACACCTGGGGACACCTGGGAACACCTGGGGGGACATGGGGACACCTGGGGAGACATGGGGAGACCTGGGCACACCTGGGGACACCTGGGGACACCTGGGCACACCTTGGGGGGACAGCTGGGGACACCTGGGGACACCTGGGGGGACATGGGCACACCTGGGGACACCTGGGGACAGCTGGGGACAGCTGGGCACACCTGGGGGGGGCAGCTGGGGACACCTGGGCACACCTGGGGACAGCTGGGGACAGCTGGGGACACCTGAGCACACCTGGGGACACCTAGGGGAGCAGCTGGGGACACCTGGGGGGTACCTGAGGGCACCTGGGGACAGCTGAGGACACACCTGGGCACACCTGGGGACACCTGGGGGCACCTGAAACACCTGGGGGGACACCTGGGGGCACCTGGGAACAGCTGGGGACACACGTGGGGGCACCTCAGGACACACCTGGGGACACCTGGGGAGACAGGTGAGCTCAGGTGAGGTTCAGGTGTGCACAGGTGTGTCACAGGTGAGCTCAGGCGTGTCACAGGTGAGCTCAGGTGTGTCACAGGTGAGCTCAGGTGTGTCCCCTCCCCGCAGACGTCCCCGACCCCCCCGAGGCCGTGCGCGTCACTCAGGTGGGCGAGGACTGGGCCGTGCTCGTCTGGGAACCCCCCAAGTTCGACGGGGGACAGCCGGTGACAGGTGAGGGACACACCTGGGGACACCTGGGGACACCTGGGGACACCCGGGACACCCGGGGACACCTGGGGGGACCTGGGGGGGCACCTGGGGGGACCTGGGGACATTTGGGGACACCTGGGGACACCTGGGGACACCTGGGGGGACCTGGGGGGACCTGGGGTACAGCTGGTCACAGGTGAGACCCCACACCTGGATTTACCTGGGGGGTACCTGGGGGGACCTGGATTTACCGGGGGGGACCTCACCTGTCCTCACCTGTCCTCTCACCTGTCCCACCTGTCCTCACCTGTCCTCTCACCTGTCCCACCTGTCCTCACCTGTCCTCTCACCTGTCCCACCTGTCCTCACCTGTCCTCTCACCTGTCCCACCTGTCCTCACCTGTCCTCTCACCTGTCCCACCTGTCCTCACCTGTCCTCTCACCTGTCCCACCTGTCCTCACCTGTCCTCTCACCTGTCCCACCTGTCCTCACCTGTCCTCTCACCTGTCCCACCTGTCCTCACCTGTCCTCTCACCTGTCCCACCTGTCCTCACCTGTCCTCTCACCTGTCCCACCTGTCCTCACCTGTCCTCTCACCTGTCCCACCTGTCCTCACCTGTCCTCTCACCTGTCCCACCTGTCCTCACCTGTCCTCTCACCTGTCCCACCTGTCCTCACCTGTCCTCTCACCTGTCCCACCTGTCCTCACCTGTCCTCTCACCTGTCCCACCTGTCCTCACCTGTCCTCTCACCTGTCCCACCTGTCCTCACCTGTCCTCTCACCTGTCCCACCTGTCCTCACCTGTCCTCTCACCTGTCCCACCTGTCCTCACCTGTCCTCTCACCTGTCCCACCTGTCCTCACCTGTCCTCTCACCTGTCCCACCTGTCCTCACCTGTCCTCTCACCTGTCCCACCTGTCCTCACCTGTCCTCTCACCTGTCCCACCTGTCCTCACCTGTCCTCTCACCTGTCCCACCTGTCCTCACCTGTCCTCTCACCTGTCCCACCTGTCCTCACCTGTCCTCTCACCTGTCCCACCTGTCCTCACCTGTCCTCTCACCTGTCCCACCTGTCCTCACCTGTCCTCTCACCTGTCCCACCTGTCCTCACCTGTCCTCTCACCTGTCCCACCTGTCCTCACCTGTCCTCTCACCTGTCCCACCTGTCCTCACCTGTCCTCTCACCTGTCCCACCTGTCCTCACCTGTCCTCTCACCTGTCCCACCTGTCCTCACCTGTCCTCTCACCTGTCCCACCTGTCCTCACCTGTCCTCTCACCTGTCCCACCTGTCCTCACCTGTCCTCTCACCTGTCCCACCTGTCCTCACCTGTCCTCTCACCTGTCCCACCTGTCCTCACCTGTCCTCTCACCTGTCCCACCTGTCCTCACCTGTCCTCTCACCTGTCCCACCTGTCCTCACCTGTCCTCTCACCTGTCCCACCTGTCCTCACCTGTCCTCTCACCTGTCCCACCTGTCCTCACCTGTCCTCTCACCTGTCCCACCTGTCCTCACCTGTCCTCACCTGTCCTCACCTGTCCCCACCTGTCCCCACCCCCACCGCACACCTGTCCGCACACCTGCGGCAGGTTACCTGGTGGAGCGGAAGAAGAAGGGCTCGCACCGCTGGATGAAGCTCAACTTCGAGGCGCTGCCGGCGCTGAGCTTCGAGGCCACGCGCATGATCGAGGGGGTCCTGTACGAGATGAGGGTCTTCGCCCTCAACGCCATCGGGGTCTCGGCCCCCAGCCTCAACACCCCCCCCTTCATGCCCATCGGTGAGGG